AGACATCCCCTAACTTATCAATGGATTTGAGGCCTGTGGTTACCCTCAGCCTGATTTAGCTCATCTGCCAAGAGAGTTTACCAGGGTGTGGCTGCTGCTCATGCTGCAGGTTCTTGGATCCACAGGAGAGAATTGGGTGAAGGTAGAAATCAAATGTATATGAACAGCCCTGGAAAGGGCTCAGCAAGCCCTCAGCCTGGGCCTTTGCCAGTTATTTTGACTTTTGTCCTGCTGATGAACTTCCATGACTGGGGAAGAGAGAGTGAGGCTGAAGACTTTGTGCAGCTCTGCCTCACTTAAATGAAGTTCATGAACAAGTCAAGACATCACCCAACATGTCATTGGTCCTTTTCAAAAATTAAGGAAGAACAAGTCTTTGCAAGTGACCAAGTTACTTGTCTCAAGTCACAAAGGTAGTAAGTGTTAGAGGTAAGATTTCAATCTAAGTCCTTTGAATCCAGAACCTGCGATCTTTTCAATGTGTCAAGTTTTCACTTTCTTTCTTTCTACTGCACTGATCAATCAATTCATATTTTAAAGTATGATTCATAGATTTTGTTTTTTCTCCAATTTATTTCCTTAGTATTACTTTACAAAATAATATCTCTTTGCTCACTAAAATTGGTACTGTGTCCATGTTATCAGTTTTGCTTAAACTACTTGGATGCCTGTGTATCCCATGAACTTTCTTCCCCTCCCACATACTAACCCTTCCTCAAATTTTTTGATTTTGCATAAATTATTCATTTATTTTTCTTTCCTTTCTTTAGTTATCTATTTCTCACTCTTCTTTTGTGCTTTCTTTTCCCCACTTAGACTATTAGTTCAAAATCTTCCCTCCGTTCCTAGCTTTTAACCATTTATTTTAAGATATTTTCTTTTCCTGTATCCTTTCTAAGGTAGTGCTTTCCCTCCCTCTGCTTTGGCTTCTTTATTATTTCTCTTCCTTTTCAGTTCATTCTGATTTTTGACTTCTGCTTCATGGGCTGTGCCATTTTTTGTATCTTCTTTATTTTCTTTATGTCATTTTTAGGATTAAAGATTTTGAAATACCAGGTATGAGTTCTCTTTTCTTTTCTTTTTCTATGTTGTTGTGATTTCAGATTGTGCCTTGCTTTTAAAAAATATTTTCACATTCTTTTTTAATTGTGTTCAAAATTATCTCCCTCCTTCCAGCCCCTATCCATCTATTGAGAAAGCAAGCAACGTGATATCAATTATACATTTGAAAATATGCAAAACATATGTCCATATTAGCCAAGTTGCAAAAAAAAAAAAGAAAAAGAAAAAATTTAAAAAATATACTTAAATTTGCACTCAAGACTTCATTGGTTCTCTCTCCAGAGGTAGAAAGCATTTTTTTTTTTATCGTAAGTCCTTTGGAATTATCTTGAATCATTTTCATGATCAGAGCAATTAAGCCTTTTACAACTGATCATCATTACAATATTTATGTTACTATGTACAATGATCTCTTCTGCTTCCCTCACTCTGCATCAATTCATATAGGTCTTCTTAGGTTTTTCTGAAACCATCCTGCTCATCATTTCTTATAGCACAATAGTACTCCATAATAATCATTTACCACAACTTGCTCAGCCATTTCCCACTTGATGGGTATCCCCTCAGTTTCCAATTCTTTACCTCCACAAAAAGAGCTGACACAACATACACATACACACACACATTTCATATATATAATATATATGTATGTATACATATATATATATATATATATATATATATATATATATATATATGTATATAGGTATCTCCTTTTCCTTTGTTCTCTTTGGGATACAGACTTAGTAGTGGTATTGCTGGGTCAAAGGCTATGCACAATTTTAAAGCCCTTTGAGCATAGTTCCCAATTTTTCTTCAGAATAGTTGGTCCAGTTTACAACTCTGTCCACAATGCATTTATGTCCTTGCTTTTCCACATCCCCTCCAGCAGTGTCATTTTCCTTTTATGTCATATTAGACAATCTGATAGGTGTGAGGTGGTATCTCAAAAACGTTTTAATTTGCATTTGTCTAATCAGTAGTGATTTAAAATATTTTTTTCATATTATTACTACAGATAGCTTTGATTTCTTCTTTTGGAAACTATCTGTTCATATCCTTTAATCATTTATCAATTGGGGAATGGCTCCTTTTAAAAAAAATTTACTCCATGCTTCACTCTTAGAAATATCACTTCATGAGGGAAGCAACACTGAATAGAAATAGTAACACATGGTAGAAATTACCCTGAGTCTCAAAACTTGGGACCCAACCTCACCCTGTGACCTCATTATGATCAGCCTCTTAAAGAAAGGTCCTTCTATTTCATATTTGTGTCCTCTCACCCCCACCCAAGCACCTAGGAATTCACACATTTCTTCTTTTAGGCAGGGGTGTTGATCATCAAAACATAGCATTCTTTGAGGGAAAGTGACTCTCCTATATGCTAAGACACCCAGACTAAACTGACCTTAAAGTCCTAAGACATACACTTATACCCTGAATGTGAATGCTTTTCATCAAAATCCCCTCCCCTCTTTGAGGTGAGACGTCTCTCTTCTAGTCCTCTTGTCTCAGTTCCTCCCCTCCTTGACTTCTCCTATTTTCTGCACTATTCCTCTTGCCAAGAGACTATAGGATTTAACATCCCTGCAGTCCTCAATGGTGGCCTTGGTTGGAGGGAATAAACCATTCCTCTTTGTCTCTATGCCCGACTGTATATTTATAAGACTTCCTACTTGCAACTCCTATACACACAAATGCATATGCACTCTTTCTCTCTCTTACACACACACACACACACACACACACACACACACACACACACACACTTATACATGCATTGATTTTACCTATAGGGGTCAGGGGATTTAGTTAGTAGTACTGAAGTTCATCTCTTCAATCTTCATTTCTCCTGATTCTTTAAGTTCCCTTCAATTTTTTTGGCTCATTATGAGCTTTTTTTTTTTATCCCTTACTTTTGTAGTATTTCATTTAACCCTTTGGTATTATCTCTCTCTCTCTCTCTCTCTCTCTCTCTCTCTCTCTCTCTCTCTCTCTCTCATAACCTTTAAACATTAGATAATTGATTTCATTACTTGTTCATTTCTTGATAACTATGCTTATTTACCTTGTGCCTCTGAGTTTGGTGTTTCTGAAAACTAAATATTTTGCTCATTTTCTTTTGTTTCCAAATACCTTAAATGTTTTTCTTTTGTTAAATTTTCATCTATTTCTATTGATGATTAGGCATTGGTTTGTGGGATATGTCATTATGGGATATAATTTGAACACTTCTGTCATGTTTGAAGGTCTTTTTTCTCTTGGCCACTGAATTTTTACATCTAACCATTATATAAATGCATTAAGGTTTGTAAAACAGATTTTTCTTTTTTTTTTTGTAGAAGAAATCTCTAGATTCTTTTAAGAGATACTGTCTTGTCTGCACTCAGAAGTTCTGGACAATTTTCTTTTATAATTTCTTAAATTTTGATATTCAGGTTTTTTACCCTTTCATTTACAATCTTATATGGGAGACCTGTAATCCTTAAGTAATCTCTGTACATTCTGACTTCTAGGGCAATTATTTTAACTTGTGAAGAATTCGTGTGTCACTTTAGTGTTATTTCCTTTTATTTCTCTCCCATTAAATGTTCTTCCAATTTAGTATTTTTGTGATATAAATCAGTTAACCTGTCTCACAGCTTCTACTGAATTAGTGAGATTCTTCATCTTGAATTCAATTTTTCTTTTCTTCTAATTGTGTTTTTAAATCATTATTGGAAGCTCTACTTCTGCCATATTTCTTCTGCTTTTTCTTTTATGAGTTTTAGTTTATTCTGTATTTTTTTTTTATCATTGTTCCATGTTTTCCAACAAGTCCACATGGTTTTTTCTTTGGTCAGGCACATGGTTCACGTTCATTCATATTACGATATTTTCTTAGTATTCTTTGTCTTTTTTCAAGGTATTTCTCATTTTTCCTTTTGCAGTTTGGAGCCTACTTGTTAATTATTAACTTGGGTGATAGGCTTTAATGAGGTTTTCCCTTGATAGTTTTGTATTTCCAGGAATTTTCTAATATTACCTTATTATTCAATTTCTGGCTTCTCTCCCTTTTCTAGTGATCAGACTCTCACACTGGCCTGCAAGGCTAATTAAGCCTCCTCCCATTGAGGGGCCATCCATTGGTCTGGATCTTTATCCTAAATAACCTCTACAAGGAAAAGATTGGCCCAGATGGGTTTTCTGTTCCAATTTCATGAGGTCCAACATAGCTACTAACATGCTACAGTGGAGAGTTATTGTAGCAATAGGTGTTCCTTCCCTAAGGTTGGATCCCCAGATATAAGCTTGAAAGTTTGCATGTACTTCCTTTTGCAAGTTCATTAAGACTAGTAGAAGAGGGGCTCTAAATGAGACCTCAACATATTTAAACATTTAATTTAATTCATAAGGTTTTTTACCTTTCTCAGGGGCTTTTCTCTTTTTCTCTGTAATTGACTGAAATAATTCTAATTGTGCTGCATAATTCCTTTTTTTGTTTGTTTGTAGAAAGATTAAAGAGGTATGCAGTAACTACTCTGCCATTTTATTAGCCATAAGACTCCTCTTAATTTCTTCATTGGTTTTCTGCTTAATGAGCTGCTCAGTTATAATCTCAGGAGACCTTGAAGAATTTCTTGTGATACTTTTACTTTCCTCGGGTAATTTTGACTCAGTTTCCCTTGTTGCCAAGTATTTTTCCATTGAGACAATTCTTTTCTTCCATTATCTATTAACTTATCCTCAACTTTTATATATCTTTATCAATTACTTTTTTTAACTCTTCTATGGTGTCCTTGCTATAAATGTCCTTTTGACCAGTCATATTTTCCTCTTTATGAGCCCAATGTTTTGTACTCCTTCCCTACCCTTGTTTCCTGTACACTCAGGTTACTGTTGCTGTTGATTCTCTCCACTGCTGTCAATAAAGCTTACCATTTGTCAGCTGATGCAGGGAGACTCAGAAGGACAACACTAAGGTTGGGCTAATTATTTTTTTTTATCTTTCCAAGATTTATTTTTTCTGGATTCCTTCCCTCTCCCTTATATTGACTCTTTTATTTTTTTCAGTCCCTAGGCTGACTCTACGAGGCTGGTGAATAAGGGATTGGGAACAGGGGTTTCCCCAGGACAAGAGTAGTGGGTCTGAGAAGCTCTTTCAGTTGGGTCTCTCCTCCACATTTCTTTGACTTTTTCTGCTGGTTACTTGCTACCTCTTATTGAGTACCAAATAGTCGTAATTAATACTATACTTCTGGGTCCCTTTTCCTCAACAATCTTGTCACCCAGAATCCATAATCCTTTTGAGCCCTGAGGATAGTCTGATTCATTAACCTTAACTTGCCCTAGGATAAGGTTTTTCTTTGAGATACTGCCAAAGCATTTTCAAAAATTACATCCTCAAACCTATAGAACTCATAAAGAAAAAAGGGCTAGTCCAGTCCATCAAGGCTGTGAACTAGAAGAGATAAGGAAAGCCTGGGGTGGGAGTCCCAGGAGTGATGGGATGGTGAATTGGTCTTTGCCACTTTTCCCCCAATGAGAATCAATTACATTATACTAGATTCTTTTAATTTCTTTTAATGTTCCTTTTTTGTTGTAAATTTTGATACATTTTGAGGATCTTTATTTGTTTTAGGGGGATGGTATGGGAAGCTATATTAACTAGGTAATTTTACATTCCTTATTTTTCTACCAGCTCCCCAGGATTCCTATCCATTCACCTTAGAAACAGATTTTGCTCTGTGTTCTCCATTTTTCCTTCATCAACTATGAATTCACTTAGGGTGACCTTTGCATTCTTTTTCTAAAGAACTATAATCTGGTTTGCTTTAATTATGTTTTCTTCAAAATCAATTTCTCTGTATTCCAGCCTCTGCCCTTTATGTTATTTTCCCTGCACCGACTCTTCTAGCAGAGTTGAGGGTATAAACTTAGCTTTGCTTCCAGGAAGACTTCTAGCCTAATGTTGAGGATGTATCATGTGAAACCCTTTCTGATGTTGGAGAGAAGCAGCTGATAACAGTAGATTCTCACATTTTTTTCATCTGTTCTTCTTAACCAATAAATAGCCAAAGTAGGGTAGATTTCGCCCTCTTTTGGCTTTATACTTTGAGTGATAAAAGTCTATGCATGATTTAGAGGTGTGTTTAATGCATTTTAGTTAGCTAAATTTATACCCCACTTGTACTGGCAGGGTTGGTGAGGCTTTTACATTGACATAATGGCATTAAGCTTTGGCTTCAGGTAGTTTGGTATAAATTACTGAGGGGTGGGCTGCAAGATTGTGGGGATCAGCCAATAACACATTTTCTGCCCTTAAAATCTAGCATGGAGAAATTTAGGAATGAGTCAACTTAACCAGAAAAAAATAAAGCTGGCCTTCCTTTTAACTTTAAGCAAAGAAAGAATGCCATAATATATTTTGTGGACTCCACAGAAACTCAGAATTCCTTTGCTATTAGTGGGATTTTGTTATAGTGGGAAACATTACTAAAAACCTTATTTCTCAAGGAGAGGTGTTAACAAGACTGATGCTTGCCCTGTCTGTAGTAAATTAGCATATGAAAGGTAATTCTTAGAAAGAGGAATCATAAATGCTTCATATTGTCTGATTTTGGTGACTGAGTACATTTTCCCAGCTGCATTGGAGAGGTGTTTGAAGGGAGAAGTGTAGGGAAGGAAACAAGCCTTTAAATAGCACCTACTGTATGACAGGCAAGTACTTTGCAAATATGATCTAATTTGATCCTCACAACCACCCTGGGAGATAGGTGCTGTTATTATTCCCATTTTACCTATGAGGAAACTGAGGCCTGGTCTCAGTCTAGGGGTTGCCATCATCCTGCTAGTGATACAGAGTGTTAATTTTAGAGAATCCAAGTTCGGGGATTTGAGAAACACCAAAGCAATAAATATTTCAACATAGTAGCAAAAACAACCCCACTTTATTAAAGCAATAGAAAACGATTGGTGTCAGTGGTGGTGGTTGTAAGGCGGATACTTCTTACAATAGAAGAGACCCCAACAAAATCCTATAGGGTGAATCAACTCTAGGGGGAGAACCCAGTCTCATGAGTTTGGTCTGGGTAGAAGCTTCCCAAAGCAAACTCAGACCAAAATTTTTGAAGTGAAATCAAATTTATCTTGGAATCAAACTACCATTTGGATCATCCACAATCAGGCAGAATAGTGGGATTCTCCTGCTTGGTCACTGCATATCTGAAACTGAGAAAGATCCTTTGTTCATCTTGACTTTCTGCATAAAACTCTTCTACAAATTTCCTGTCTCATATAAGTTCTATTTTATTTGTATTTGCATACCTTTCAATGCTTAGCACCATAACTAGAATGTAGCAGGAGCTCAATTAATGCCTCTTATTTATTTGAATTTAGGGTGACATTAGACCAATTTCTATTGCATGAATACCTCAGTTTAATCATGGAAAAGAGAACAGCCCTTTTACTTCCCTATTAACAACTCTCACATTTTTCACATTTGTAACTGTCAAAAAGAGAAATTTCCAACTCATTTGAAAAGCTCACATTTTGCAAACTAAAAATAAGAGAAGGCAAACCTTCTGGATCAGGAAGTAATGTGGGATACCACTGATGACTACTTTCTCATACATTTGTTGGTCTCTTGTTTCCTGTAAAGATATCATTTAGGATTGAGAAAAACATAAATGTTTTAGCCTGCACTACTATAGGAAAATCACATTTAAAAAACAAAAACAAAAGTCCATACTTTCATCATGCCATGGGAATTTACATCTTAAAAAACAAGAATAAAAACTTTTTTTATTTTTCCAAATGCAGGTATTTCAATACGTGTCATATAAACTTCATCCATCCCCCAAGCCTGCATCTACACATGTAACTATTTGAATCAATTAAGCGGGAAAAAGTGATTTCAAGTGTACTGGAGTCTGAGATTCTCTCATGAAATGAAGGACCTGAATAAACTGTGTGATGTTTTTTCATTTACTCGGTTCATAGTCTCCACCCAGTAAACCTAGGTCTATATATGTATGGTATCCACCCAGTATACTGAGAATAAATTTGGGGAACAAGAATTGTCTTTCTCTCTATATCCTTTCCTTTGGCCACTATCTTCCTCTTCAAATTTGTATTGTTCTTCTGGGCTCTGGAGAGGCCACACAGCCCAGCAGCTCCTCAGACCAAGCTAAGAAGGTCTCTACTAATAATTAGAAGACTTTCTCATATTTATATAGCTTTTCAATGTTTGTAGTGTGATAATTCTGCGAGGTAGGTAGAATCTTTCAATACTCTTTCCCTAAGGCAAAATGAGGGCAAAAACATCCACATTCTTTCTTTCTTTGCCCTAATTGCCATTCTTCTGGCCACACCGGCCCCTCCTTCTTTTTTCCCTGCTGTCTTAAATTTCTTCTAGTTACTTGCCCTATCTATTAACATATCTGGGTGTGGACACATATCATGTTCTCCAATTATTCAAACAGGAAAAGGAAGGTGAAGGGCAAATATTTTAGTGCTTGATATATAAGAATGCAAACATTCAGAGTTGGAGGGGTATTTTGTAATAGAATATAATAACAAATTATATTCCTAAAAATTATTTTTTTACTTTTCAGTTGATTTGGGGGATGGTTATCATATAGACATAGCTGAGACAAAAGGAAGAATTAGGGAAGTATTTCAGAGAATTTAAGTTTAGGGTACTGCCTTCTTTCATGTATTTGGTTATTGAGAGAGGCAGAAAATAGACTTTTTACATAAAGGTAAGAATAGTTTGGTTGTGAAAAGGGGTAGAAGAAGGGATTTTTATGAAAAACTGATGAAATTAAAGAGTGAAGAAACAGTTTTCAGGCAAAATGTAAAGAGAGACAGAGGACTGAACAGGGAACTGAGATGAGGTGTTTGAGGATAAAATAATGAATGAGGCAGCAGGGTATTGTGATCCCTCAGCTCATTTGTGTTTGACTGCCTTTAGTTTGAAAGGTTAAAACTCAGAAAGTGGAAAATGAAATAACTCTTTGGAAACTATAGAAAGATTCAATAAGGACCATTGGTTTTATAATTTGTGTAAATGCAGATTTTGTGAGTTTTACTACAGAGGGAAAATGAGTCAGTGAACACCAGTAGTCTCTTATTTGAGACACTGAGAATGTTGAAAGTGCTAGCAGAAGAGTGAAAGGACCAATTAGAGCTGAGAAGACAGTAGGATACAATTAGAAGGACAATAGGAAAGTAAGCTAATAGGTAGCCTTCAGCTATGGTTGTAAGAGTTTCTCCTTCATTGGATAAGAGACCTGAATTCTGCTCATTGCACCCCAGTTCTATTTACAAGTTGAGAGACGCTGGTTGTTCTCAGTTATTTTCTCTGTTTTGATGTGGAGAAATGAAAGGGAAAAGACAGGCTTGCAATTTATTTTTCTGTGTTTGCTGAAACATAATTTGTTGTCACCTAGTGGATGACACAATGCCCTACTGAGCAAAGAAATGGCCAAGAGTTCTTGCCCAAATTGCCAACATGTAAAACTTTACTGTGAGCTGTGTATTGATGTAACAAGATACTGAGAGTTGACTGGATGATGCAGAATCCAGTCTAACAAAGAGTGGACTAGGCTTGTTTGCATTGCCTAGGGACCCAACCAGATGAGCTATGGAATTCTCCAGCTTAAATTAAGGGAACTGCTTGTCACAATAATAGCATAACATTTTCTCAATGTTTTTTATTTTTTTTAATATAACTTTATTTATATTTAGTTTTCAACATTTACTTCCATAAGATTTTGAGTTCTAAATTTTCACCCATCTTGTCCCTCCCCCCACCCCAAGATGGCATGCATTCTGAATATCCCTTCCCCTAGTCTTCCCTCTCTTCTATCTCTCCCCCCCTTCTCTTATCCCCTTCCCCTTCTATTTTCCTATAGGGCAGGATAGACTTCTGTACCCCATTTCCTGTATTTCGTATTTCCCAGTTGTATGTGAAAACTTCTTTTTACACATATGTTTTTAAAACTTTGGGTTCCAAATTTTCTCCCTTCTTCCCTCCTCACCCACCCTCATTGAAAAGGCAAGCAGCTCAATATAGGTTATACATGTGCAGTTATGCAAAACACTTCCATAGTAGACGTGTTGTGAAAAACTACCTCTATTTCCCTTAATCCTATCCTGCACTCCCATTTATTCTATTCTTTCTTTTGACCCTGTCCCTCCTCAGAAGTATTTGCTTCTGATTACCCCTTTCCCAATCTGCCCTCCTCTCTATCATCCCCTGCTCTCTTGTCCTCTCTCCCCTATTTTCCTGTAGGGTAAGACAGATTTCCATACCCAATTGAATGTGTATGTTATTCCCTCCTTAAGCCAAATCCTATGAGAATAAGATTCACTCATTCCCTCTCACCTTCCCCATTTCCCTCCACTGTAAAACCTTTTCTTTTCTTTTTGTGAGATAATTTACCCATTCTACCTCTCCCTTTCTTCTTCTCCTAGTATAATCCTCTTCATCCCTTAATTTTATTCTCCAGATATGACCCCTTAATCTTCAACTCACCCTGTGCCTCTATCTATCTATATCTATCTATCTATCTATCTATCTATCTATCTATCTATCTATCTATCATACATATATTTTCCTCCAACTACCCTAATACTGACAAAGGTCTCATGAGTTATAAATATCATCTTTCCATGCAGGAATGTAAACAGTTCAACCTTAATAAGTCTCTTATGATTTCTCTTTCCTGTTTACCTCTTCATGTTCCACTTGAGTCTTGTATTTGAAAGTCAAATTTTCTATTCAGCTCTGGTCTTTTCATCAAGAATGCTTGAAAGTCCTCTATTTCACTGAATGACCATTTTTTCCCCTGAAGGATTATACTCAGTTTTGCTGGGTAGGTGATTCTTGGTTGAAATCCTATCTCCTTTGCCCTCCGGAATATTATATTCCATGCCCTGCGGTCCTTTAATGTAGAAGCTGCTAAATCTTGTGTTATCCTGATTGTGTTTCCCCAGTACTTGGATTGTTTCTTTCTGGCAGCTTGTAATATTTTCTCCTTGACCTGGGAACTCTGGAATTTGGCTACAATATTCCTAGGAGTTTTCCTTTGGGGATCTCTTCCAGGAGGAGATCTGTGGATTCTTTCAATTTCTATTTTGCCCTCTGGTTGTAAAATGTCAGGGTAGTTTTCCTTGATAATTTCTTGAAAGATGATGTCTAAGCTCCTATTTTGATTGTGGCTTTCATCAAGAGTCCTTCAGAATTGTCTTGGATCACTGTATTGAGGAGAATACACAAGTCATTCACAGTTAATCACCATACAATATTGCTGTTACTTTGAACAATATTCTCCTCATTATGCCCAGTTCACTTTGCATCAGTTCATGTAAGTCTTCCCAAGTTTTTCAGAAAGCATCCTGCTCATCATTTCTTATAGCTGTGCGTCATCATTAAATAAATGTTTCATGTTTGAGTTAATAGTGTCATCATTGTGACTGATAGATTTTTCTGGTGAAAGTGCACTAATAGGGGCTCAAAAGCTACAATGATACACAGTGGGAGAATATCCCACATTCTAACAGGGTTGCCCCTAAGATTCTCTAAAAGTGTTTGAGTTCTAGGCATATAGTGATGGTCTTTTTCAGGGAACTTCTTACATTCCAGTAGACATGAGGGCTAATAATTGCTGATGTCTTCTATGTTGTCCTTTCTTAGTCATCACCCTCTGTGATTTTTCCATTATTTTTGAATTCTTTGTGTGTCTATACACAAACACATACACACATACATATATATGTACACACAGATATACATATAGCATATATGTGCATGTGTATATATGTATGATTTATATGTGCATAGTACATTATATATATGTACATACATACATACATATATATATATATACATATATATATATATACATACACATCATCTGTTTATGATATCAGGTCAGGTCTGAAATTTTTAACTTTGATAATCTTTTTAGGCCTCAGTTACCTAATTGTTAGAGACAAGGGGGCTATCTTAGATAATCTTTAAGATACCTACCAGCTATTAGTCTAAGATCCTATCATCTTATTAGGTATTATTTACATTTCTCCACATGGTATGTTTGGTACTATATTTGGAAAAACAAAATCAAGAGTTCTACTATTATTGTTAATGAAACTAGTTCATTACAATACAGAGAAGCATGGAAAGACTTAAATGAACTGATGTAATATGAAGTAAGCACAAATGACTAGAACAATAAAAAAATAAAAGAATTACTACAGAACAATAAAAAATGAAGTTTGCAAAATTACTAATAAGAAATAGGGTCTCAAATTGATCATGTTGATTTTTTTTCTCTTTCTTTTTTTCCCCCTTTATTTTAAAATTCCTTTATTCTTGAAATAGCCTTGTGGGAACAGGAAAGAAAGGAGATATGGGCGAAAATCATGCACTATAAAAACAAAATATGTCAATAACATTTATTTTAAAAATACATCATTATGATAGCTATAACTAGCAAGGGGACAACCAGGGATTTGCATTAACACCCTGGGGGTAGGGCCTTGCTTCCTCCTCACTCCTAATTCTTCACCTTAGTCTTCTATTGGTCCAGGGTAACACAGCAAGCAACTACCCCCAGGTTACCACTCCAGGGCCCCACCACTTTCTCTGCTGTCTCCTGGGGCCCACTTTTTATCCCTTCCCCAGCTCCCCACATGGGTGAGGACTCAGTTCTCTAGCAGTTCTGTTGCTGTTCCCCTGGCTTTACCTACAGATGCACTCAGGGTGATTTAACTTTGTTGGATCTTGTGCCAAGTACATGGCAATCTCATATTCTCCTTTATTTCTTTTATGTTTTATGAGACAATACTACTCATAGTCTTTCACCATTACCCCCCAAAATGTTTTGGAAATTAATTTATACTCAAAATTGATGTTGTCCTTAGTTGCATCTTCAATATGATTGGCTGGGGAGATTTCTGGCCATTCTCAGTCTCTCTGTCCTGGAAAATTTTGCGTTGGTTAATATTTTCTAGGAGGTGTTGATAGAGTCACTCTGCTTTCTTTTGTCCATTTCCCATTTAAGGGAGTTGATGGCTTGTTGAAACAGGTAAAGTCAGAGCTTTCGTAATCTGTTTTTGTAATTTGGTATTTACTTTGATCTTTGCTCTAACGTTGATGATCTGACTGCACCCAGGTAGCAGATTCTGAAAGGGCTGCTCTTCTCGTAACCAGGCATTTCCTGTCTATTATGATGTAGTCATTTACATTTTTAATGAGAGCACTTGAGACTAACCATGCTTAATACATTGTGACTCTTTTTCTTGAGTAAATGAATTAATTAGTGGATGAATAAATAAATGAATGAAAAGAAGTGTATATTAAGCACTTACCACGTGTAAAACACTAAAAGCTAGGGAGGAAAATAGAAAAGCAAGATAATACCTCTTTTCAAGGACCTTACATCCTAATAGTGAGAGACTATATGTAGAGGAGGTTTAAGCAACAAAGTAGATGGAAAAGCCCCATCCTTAGGGTGCAGTGTCAAAGCAGATGGTAATACATTTTATTTAAAGTCATTTCCAGTAATAAAGCCAGATCTGGTTTTTTGTGTATTACCATTTGATAGTGCCAAGGATTTTATTGGCAAGAACCTTCTTTCCTGATCTTCAGTAGCTATGGCTACTGAGAAGGTCAGAGCCAAATAACCTGCAGAGTAAGTTTCTGGAAAGCATATCTACAAGGGTTGCTTCCCTGTGGGGCCAAGCCCAGTGATCTCAATGATCTGAGCTATTCCCATGACTCTTTGACTTACCTGCTCAACACTGGCATTTGGTTAATGACTGCTGGTGATGATGGCTGGCATACTTCTCTACAAGAGTTAGTCTCTTTCATGATGGATGAAAGGGACTAGCTGGAAGCAAAGCCAGTGGTCTGAGGAATATTGCCAATTCCAAGCCAAATTAACAAGTTGTTGTTCAGTCATTCATTGTGTACCACTCTTTGTGACCTTGTTGACTATAGCTGCCCATGGGGTTTTCTTGGCAAAGATTATGGAATGGTTTGCCATTTTCTTCTCCAGTGGATCCTCTTGTTAGTCAATCAGAGGTTGAGTGACTTGCCCAGAGTCACACAGTTAGGAAGTATCTGAGGCTAAATTTTAACTCAAGTCTTCTTGGTTCCAGGCCCAGTGCTCGATCCACTGAGTCACCAGCTGCCTCATTAGCAAGTATTTATGAAGTGTCTATTTTATGCTAGGTATTTCCAGGCCTCTTGGACTCAGGGTCCTAGGTTATCTTTGTCAGGGTGGAAGGGAAGATGATAGTTGAGGTGGTTTGATCTACATGGCATCCTTAGGCTGCTTTGTTCCTTCAGACAAGCTGACTTGCCTGCCTATCTGTGGCAGTTGGTGGTGGTGGTGGTGGGAACAGCTGGGCTAATCTCTACAGGATTTGCTCACCTTGTTGATTATTAATATTAATGGTTGCTGATGTTCATAATAAAAAAGAAAATGCACAAAATTCCAGGGCCTTGGAATATGTTGATATTTTGCTAATTCATATCATAGAATGATCTCAAATGATACTGCCTTTATTCACTCATCTTTTCTCTTTCCACTTCCTTCTTGAGAGGTTAGTATATGAAATAGGACCATTTTATAATGCTGATGTGGGGGTGGGGCAGGTACAAGAATGATGTATTAGCCTCTTACTGTTTGAAATTGCTATATGTCAAGGGATATAATTTAATTCATGGCATATCTGAATTCATGTAAGAATGAACTATGTTGTAATGGGATTCTAGTACATTAATAATGCATTATTATTTTTTAATCTGTTGCTGCTGCTTTTCTTTAGGAAGCTGCTGTTTTCTCGGAACACTCAAATTATCACAGCAGGAAGAAAAGAATGAGTTCAGAATTTAAATCCAGATTCCACAAGGGTCTTGATACCTGGATCCTCAGTTAAGACTGAGGCAGAATGGACTCTTTGTAAGATGTCCAATAGTGGATTGCTTTGTGACAGGTCTGTAATGTTGCACTACCGAAAAGGGCTAAATTGTCAACAACCTAGCATGACTAGATCATTATTATTCCAATTTTAGAATTGAAAAAAACTGAAGCAGACAGAGGATAAGTTATTTGCCCAGTTTTGCACAGCTAATAAGTTTCTGAAGACAGATTTGAATTCAGGTCTTTCTGACTGTAGGCACTAGGGATACAAAGAATGAAACTATCCCTGACTTCAAGGAGCTTATGTTCTGATGGAGATATCACAACACATATACATACATACATACATATATACATATATATATATATATACATATATATACATATATATAATATGTATATATATATATATATACATAAAAGAATATGCAGATCTAAAAAAAGGATATGCAGAATAAGTCTAAAGAGGATAAATACAAGGTAGTTAAAAATAAGAAGGATGGTAGCTATTGGAGGTGATCAAGAAAGACTTCATATGGAAGATTACCCCAATCTATGTTTTGAAAGAAGAGGGGGATTCTGTGGAGCAGATGTGAAGAGGGAGCACATTCCAGGCATAGGGGAGGATCCTTGCAAAAAGACTGGGAGATGGAATGTATGTAGCATTTGAGAAACAGATTGTAAAACAATTTGGCTTGATCACAGAGTTCACAAGGGGAGAATCATGTCCAGAATAATGAGGATTAACTTGAGCCTCACTTCAGTCTATCCTCCACAATAGCTACCAAAATGATTTTCCTTAAGTTATATTCTTATCATGTCACTGCCTGATACAATAAACTTCAGTGGCTCACTATCACCTGTGAGATAAAATATAAACTTTTTTCATTTTAGCTTGTAAACTCTTCGTAGGTAATACAGTTTACTGAGTGAGGGAGTGACATCATCAGATTGGCAAGTAAGGAAAATCAGTTTGGCAACTATGTGGAGGATAGACTAGAATGGGGATTGACTTGAGTCAGGAAGATCAATAAAGAGGCTTTTGTAATAGTGTAGGTGAGAGGTGAGTAACCTGAAAAAAGTGGTGGATGGGGGAAGAGGGAGAAGGGGTCATATTCAACAAATGTTGTGGAGATAAAAATGACAACAAAATTTGGCAAATGATTGGATAAGTGAGAGGGAATCAAGAATGACACTGATGTTAACAATCTTGAGAGATTGGAAGAGACGGTTTAGGTTTGTAACACATTTTGTCTTGTGCACATTTTGTACAAAACGTAACACATTTTTCTTGAATTTGAGATATCTCTGGGACATCCAATTGGAAATGACTAATTGGCATTTGTTGATGTGGAACTGACGGTCAGGAGAGACTTGGGCTGGATGCATAAAACTGGGAATTGCCACATTCTCTCCCTCCTTTTGTCCTTTCTACCACCACTGAGAAGAAATGTGATACCCATTATACATATGAAGTCATGCAAAACATACTTACACATTAGCCATGTTGTGACAAGAAAACTAAAGAGAAAAAATAGGTTATTGGTAACTTTGGAAAGAAACTTTGGATTTTCAATTGAGTGATGAATTTGTCAGCTAAACATTAAAGGATTGAGGAGTGAGAGAAGGACAAATAGTGGCAATGAATGTAGACAGCTTTTTCCAGTCTTTAGGTTTTTGTCAACATTCCATGAGTTCTAGTACTAGCAGAGGGAAGTCTCTTCAGTCCTCCTTACCTCAGTTTTCTCATCCATTAAATAGGCACACAGAGCTAGATAATCTCTAGTGCCCCTTCCAGCTCTTAAAAAAAAGCTATGAAATAAAACTCTATTTGTATTTCCATTAATATAATACAGCACCTAATCAAAGCAGTAAATTTTTTTTTCTGAGACTTTTGTCCTTAAAAGACTGGTTCAAGATGTATATTTCGTATGTGTGATAGGACTAGGGTTTATCTGATGAAGCTTCTTTCCTCCCACCCACATTGTAGGGGGCTGCTTCACCTAAAAGCTGGCCCTAGATCTGATTGGCCTTTGTGATTGACCTTGGCTGCCCTAATGCACCTACCCTTCTTGTCTCTACCCACCTACCCAGTTAGCCTGGGAAAAGTCTGGGACAAATCTTCCCTTGGGCCTGATTGGGCTTCCCTGGCAACTTCTTGGTAATCAAAGGGCATAAAAAGTTCCAGCCACTTGGAGTCTAGGCCCCTCAGACTTGATAGATTTCTGGAGTTCACTTGCATCACTTTGCTCTGCTGACCATTTGTGTTTCCATATGAAGATAAGAGAAGCTAAGTGGTGCTGCATCCTTGTTTCATACCCTTCCTGTGTTAAGGCAAAATAAACCTCCTTATGTTAAATGTTCAAGTATTTGAAAATAACTTATTTTGTCTCAACATCAAATCAGAACTAAGAGAGAGTGCAAGCCTTAGAGCCTTGCCTCTGACAATAAGCAATTCAAATTATTACATGTAAAAAGAATGAAAAAAAATAGTCCTTTCATGTGGTGGGAGGAGTTGGCTCCTCCAACCAGCAACCTGATTGCTCTGTTCACACAAATTAAGTAGCAGATAATAGAGATTATGAGGTTTTAATTTATTAAATGAAGTTTAAAGACATTTATACACCCTGTTGTCCCTTTATGAAGTGGGAAGCTTCCATGATAGAATTAGGACAATTTTATATTGGCTGGCAAAAGATTGGTCGTGTCCTTGTTGGACCTTAAAAGGCAAGCTGCCCAGGACTGTGTAATAGTTGAGGCATATTCAGAGCTGGAAGCACCTTTATGTTGGATGAATAGTTCACTTTTACCAGAGAACTATGGGTACAGATTGCTTTCTCCTACCCTCTCTATTGGCCATGGCATCTTGCCAAGGAGCTACTTGTCCAGAATGAGATATCACTTTCAGTAGAGAGGAAAGAGAGACATAGAGAAAAAGAGACAGAGACTGAGAAAGAGACAGAAACAGAGACAGTCAGTTAATAATATGTACCTGGCACTATGCTAATCACTGGGGATACAAAAAAAAAGGCAAAAGATAGCCCTTATAGTAAGCAAACAAATATGTGCAAACAAACTATACATGGCCAATAGAAAATAAGAGAGTGAGGGCACTAGAATTAAGAAGGCTTGGGAATGGTTTCCTGTAGAAAGTGGAATTTTAGTTGGGCCTTAAAGGAGGCCAGGGAAGGCAGTAGGCAGAGGTGAGAAGGGAGAATATACCAGGCATGGGGGACAGTCAGAGAAAATGCTCAGAACAGAGAGATGGAATATCTTGTTCATGGAAGAGCAAAGAAGTCAGTGTCATTGGACGAAAGAGTATGTGGTGAAGAATAAAGTGTTAGAAGACCAGAAAATTAGGAGGGGGGATGCCAAATAAAACAATTTGGGTTTCATCCTGGAGGTAATAGAGAGTCACTGGAGTTTATTGAGTAGGGGCAGGTGGTGACATCATCAGACCTGCACATCAGGAAAATCACTTTGGTGGCTGAATGGAGGATGAATTGGAGTGGGGAGACACTTGAGGAAGGTAGACCCACCCTCAGGCTATTGCAATAATCTAGACATGAGGGCCTGTACTAGAATGGTGGCAGTGTTAAAATAAAGAAAAGGGATGTTGCAAAGGTGAAATTAACAGGCATTGGAAACAGAGAACTTATGGAAGAGTGGTGTGTGATAGTGAGGAGTTGAGGAAGACACCTAGGTTGTGAGACAGGGACTGGCCAGATCGTGTGTCCCTCTACACCATGTGGAAGGTAGGAGTTGGGGGTGGTTTAGGGGAAAGGTAATGTGTTCAGTAAGATGTCTACTGGACATCCAGTTCAAGATATCTAAAAGGCAGATGGAGATGTGAAATTGGAGGCCAGTAGAGAGGTTGGGGAAGGGTAGATAAATTGGAAAATCATCAGCATAGAAGTGGTAATTAGATCATGGGAGCTGATGAGATTACCAAGTGAAGTAGCACAGAGGGAGAAGAGAGCCCAGGACAGAACCCTGTGGGATACCTGCAGTTGGATCCTTGTTGTTGTTTGTCCTTTCCAGGATATCAGGAAGGCGATGTCATGACCTGCAAGTGAATTAGATTTAAATGACGGAGGGCTGTGCAAAGTCATCAGCCTCACTCTCTCCTTCCGGAGTCATGAGAATCCAGTGGCAAGACAAAAGTCAAGATGACTGGTGATGACCCAGGAGTCTCCATTTATGTGAATTTTAAAAGAGTCTACAGTTTCTGGGCAAGCATTCAAGTGATAATTCACATTGGATCACAGAATCATTTGGAAAAGACCTTTGAAGACATCTAGTCCAAATACCTCCTTTTACAGATGAGAAAACTGAGATGGAGGGAAGTTAAGTGACTTGTCCAAGGTCACAAAAGCAGTAAGCACCAGAATTAGGTTTTAAACTTAGGTCTTCTGACTCCACAGTCACAATGCTCTCTTCACAATACCACAAAACATCCTTTATTTTGCCCACTGAAAATGAAAAACAAAACAAAACAAAACAAAATGCGAAATACTCATAGTGCTAAACTATTAAGCAAGATGGTTTTCTGGAACTGTTCACCTTGTCCCAAATGGCAAACTGTTTATGTCAATCTGATGATCCAGAAACAATGTGATGATGTCATGTGGATGTAATGATGCCACATGCTTAAAGCAGGAAGAGAACAGAGAGATGGTCTTATCCACACCCCTCTTTTTTCCTTAGATAATGAAACTGAGGCCTGCAGGAGTTAGCTTACTTATGCAAGGCATAACCCTGTGAGGTAGCTAGATCTTGGTTTTTTAGTCCCTGGAGACTATGACAAAGTAGCTCACAGAAAGGCAAAATCCTAACCACATGTGTTGTATCCTGCTTATATGTCCCCAATAAAGGCTTTAACTCTATAATGCTCAATACCTTGAGGCTTTAAAAAGTATATTGCATTGGATGAGAAGACCTCTTAGGATCCTGCAAACTCTGAAACTACGATTCTTTCTATAATCTCTTGTCTAAATACAAGTCATATTCTTTCCCCCAAATATGGCTTGTATATGTATGTGTCCTTTAATTGATGTTAATATATGTATATGTATGTATGTATGTATGTATACACATGTATATGTATGTGTATGTATACTTCTTCACCAGGAGTTCCTCAAGGAAATCTCAGATCTTTTCCAAATATATGTTTTATATAATGCATGTGTACACACATACACACATTTATGTATATGTATATATATTTGAATGCATTGTGCACTTGTATAACATATGTGTGTATATATACACACATACATGTACATATTTGCATGTATGTATGGGATACATATGCATATATACATACACACATATATACATATACATATACATATATATAATGCACACACACATAGATATGTGTGTATACACACCATGGGATGGGGATGGGTATCCTACAGTGTGCCATTTTCTAAGGAGAAGATGCCCACGCGAAACTTTTGTATAGGGCCACCACTTACAGAGTTATGGAACATATGAATTGGGATGCCCCCTGAATGTTGGGTATGGGGTTGTGGTCATCACCTACAGCATTTTAACAGGGGAGATTGCTTCCCTATGTAGCAGATTTGTTTGGTTCTCACTTAGCGTTTTGTGTCTCTTGTAACATTTAGGATGTACTTCCCATTAAGGGATGGCTTTTACCTCAATGGCTTATCTATCTGTACTAAGGTTAGGGTAAGGGGTCAATTTACTGTTTAGTTATTAATCTCTTTAACTATAGACCCTTCTGCTCATGGAAACTTGTGCCTGTTTACAGATATTGTTTCATTGTGTCTCTATTATATTTGTGACATCCAAATGGAGTCACTATCTGCTTGTCCTCCTTGGTGCCTCAGCTGGATTAAAGCAAGGATGTTTTTTTCCTCCTTAGAGATCCAAATCCTTTCTCAAATTTCTACTTGCACCTGCATTAATCTTTAGTGCCTTCCCTGTTTTCTTTTATATAAAAGGGGACCAAGTAAGAGCAATAAAAAGACAGTAAGTAATTGTGGTGGGGCAAACAGTTGGAATAGGAAGAAGTCAGTGGCTCACTCTACTGCCTTCAGAGGCTAAATCAGTTTCTCATCCTGGACTCTGCTTTATTCTTAAGCGAGGGGATGTCATCCACCAACTTAACAGAGATATGAGCTTTAAGATGGTCTCTCTTTAATAGGCAAGGAGGGAAAATGCACAGTTCCCTCTAGTTGCTTTACAATCTCACTAGTGTATGCTCATCAATTCCTAGTTGGATGAAAACTTTAGCTTTCATTCTTCCCCATATAATATTCCTTGTCCGCTCACTGGATTCTGCAGGAAGAGTCTGGGCACCAGTAGCAATAGTCCAAGTGTCCTCCCCAAAAAAGCCCATTCTTCTTTTCCAAGAGTTGGTAACAGAAAAAAAGTAACTGCTTCTTCCATTTTTAGTGTCTCTCTTCCAGAAGTTCTTCTAAAAATCATTTATGGCAACCAGATTTTAAAATGTCACATTAATTCTGGGATAATAGCTTCTTGAGTCTCTCATCTGCATAGCAGCGCTCTCAGTGTAGGTCCTACATTACTATTTGGACCCAGAAATTTTTCACGTTGTTGAATCATCTGGGGTATACCTGAATTATGTAATTGTATACAGCACAGACATCAAAATAAATATTAAACTTTAAAATAAGAAAAGTTATTTTCCTGGCATCCTAGGTGATCATCCCATAGTATTATTGAAAGCAGAAGTATATTAGCAATCCCAGCAATAGATGTGACATCATATAAAGCATCTCTTGACAGGGCAATTCAGAGACTAAATGTCTATATTGCATGTAGGATGTAGTGCATGCATACCATAAAAGTACATACTTATCCATAGTACATAAACAAATACTTTATATCATATTATAATATTAAACAGCAAAAGGAATAACAAAGCTACCTAGCTATAACAATATCAATAAACCTACAAAGAAAAAAACATAAATATAATCATTAGCATATACACAACGTGCAAATTGTAGATAGCTAACAAATAGATGTTTTAAATTATAAAAAATGCAAGTGCATAAATAAACATAAAAGGAAAATGATTAATGAAAATGATACTCAACATGTGGTTAGTAGCATGTGCATCAATGAACACACACAATTACATGCAACACAAATTTTACATGGGCAAATTCTAGTATTGTATGGCTATATGTGTACCTACAACATTATTTCTAGTTCACCAACAGCATCTTAAGTTAGCCTGATGACTGATTGAATGCATCTAGTTCTTTGGTAACCTGTCAATCTCTCTTGCCCTGAACCTGAGCTGGTTGATGATATGAGGTGATCATCATTGTCATTATAGATAGAGGCTTACTTCTGTAAACCTCAACTTGTAGAAAGACTAGTCTGGCTCTCGGTATTTTAATGCTCCAAGATTGTTTCTATACCATAAGAGTCTCTACAGCTGAAGTTCTAGGCATAAAAAGAGTTGCCTCTGAATTCAGTCTTTTGGTCCTATGTCTCTTTCTAAAAACAATACTTTCAGAGCCAGTAGATGGTCTTTGTATAACTGTTGAGTGGTCTCTCTTGTTTAAAGTCTGCTGAGATAAGTGCCCATCACTTGTGTTCATTTGCTCATCAGAAAATCCAATTAACTCTCTCTTATAGGTAACAAGGGGTTACAGCAAATTGTTTGGATAGTTCTCTCTCCATCCCCCCCCCCCAATCCCTCACCACTCTCTAGGGCTATTCTGTAAACAGGCAAGTTGCTTAGACTCTCAGCAACTTTCTATGGGTTTACTTTCCATCAGTTCACTAATTCTCATGTCCCCTGAACACTAAGCTGTCTCAAAAAAAAATTTGTCTCCCATTGGAGGCCTTGATAGCACACTCAGAGATCAAACCACTATTTGTTTTTCTTGTATGTATATCTTTGGAGTCATAGTTGAGATATGTTCATTGTTACATCTGCATATTTTATGCGTTCTGAAATTATAAAGCACAAGTAATTGTGTAAGTGTGGCTATTGACCAAATATCAACAAATCACAGGTTTAAAGCCTATTACACCATCCTTATAGAGTTGTGCTTGTGCACTAAAAATGCTGTATGTTGACTGCACTGAGCTTTTTTTTTTCCAGTATGAGTACTATATTCACTTTTCAGCACCATATTTTAGGAATGACATTAGTGATCTGGATATCATCCAAAGAAGGGCAACCAGGATGGTGTAAGGTTTCAAATTCATGACACAAGAGGATCATTTGAAAGGGGTGGTAATGTTAACTTGGAAGACAGAGATTCAGAGAAAGTGAGATAGCTATATGCAAGTATTCAAAAGAATGTAACATGGGAGTGAGATTAGACATGTTCTCTTTGGTTTCAAGAGAGTAGTACTTGTGTGAAGATAAAAGTTGATTGAATCAATAAAATCAATCATCCTATGCCACTTAATCAAGGGAGAACATCTCTATTAAACCAATCAATCAATTAAAGACAGTACACTAGGTCTGAGAAGTCCTTAAAAATTATTGGACTGACAATTTCACAGGAAGTGTGTCAGTACCAACAGAGAAAATTCAATTGTGCCCCATGTGTCTTCTGTAAAATAGCAAGCCAGTTCAGAACCTAGGGATCAGAATATCTGGAAGTATAAAAGAGTAAGGCATTCTAGCTAAGCCTCTGTGAAGGAGCTGCTGGGTGTGAGGAGCGGAATAGAACATCTGTCTCCTCTCCTACCCTTGACCACTGGAAAAGTTTATGAACTACAGTGGGCCAAAGGATTTGGACTTATCATATACAAGACAGGGGTAACTATCGGCAATGACTACAATGAGAGCTGAGGACAAATTAAACACACAGAGAAAAGGCAGCTTCAAGATACTACAAGGGGAGGGGCAGCTAGGTGGTGCAGTAGATAGAGCACTGGCCCTGGATTCAGGAGGACCTGAGTTCAAATCCAGATTCAGACATATAACACTTACTAGCTGTGTGACCCTGGGAAAGTCACTTAACCCCATTGCCTAGCCAAAAAAAAAAAAGAAAAGAAAGAGATACTATAAGATGCCTAGCAGCATCAATGGAATCTCATGTGCTATAGTCCTACAAAGCCAGACCTCAATCCCTATGAATCCTCTAGAATTGAAGTGGAGT